TTTTTAAGTGTTTAATGTTTTTAAAATGTTAATTTTTATGTGTGCTTATTACGTATGTAATATATGTTAGTGTATTGTTTGTTTTACTTTAAAAACAATTTTTTTTTTTTGTACTAGGAATTGAAACCAGGGTTGGTTTACCACTGAGCTCCACATCTTTTTACTTTTTATTTTGAGATAGGGTCTTGCTAAGTTGTTGGGGCTGGTTTTGATCTTGCAATCCTCTTGCCTCAGCCTCCTGAGTCTCAGATGTGTGCCACCATGAGCCTGGCTCACTCTTTATTTTAGAAATATACATAGATACATGGAGACATGCTCATAATTTAAAAAAAATTTGATATTAAGAAATTTATTATTAACACAAATTCTGTCAGTAACAAAATAAGAAATAATACACCTGAAACCAAAATAAATAAAATTAAAACTTTACTGGGACTAAGAATGTTTACCAATAAATTGCACTACTAAACTTGTTAATTTTCCTTATACCAGGAAATCCCCTGATGAAACAGACCTGGTGTATGCACAGAACTAAACCTTAAAGGAGGCTTGATATAGTTAAAATGAATAGCACCAACTTAACAAACATTTTAGGATCCTAGTATAAGAATTTGATTTATATAGAACTAACAAAACAGATGTGGACTTCTCGTGGAATTTTGTAGTATTAGAAGCAGAAAATGAGTGTGAGGCCTATAATATAATAATTGGTAAACTAGATGGGATGGTTATATGCCAAAATTAGCATAAAAACTTTTGAGAATTTAACATTTCTATACTTCTGTCTTTTGAAATTGTTATATTGAGCCGGGCATGGTGGTGAGTGCTGAAATTCCCTCTGCTTGGGAGACTGAGGCAGGAGGATCCTGGGTTCAGAGCCAGCCTCAATTAACAGTGAGGTGCTAATAAGCACCTCAGTGAGACCTTGTCTCTAAATAAAAATACAAAATAGGTCTGGGGATGTGGCTCAGCAGTTGATTACCTCTGAGTTCAATCCCCAGCACCAAAAAAAAAAAAAAAAAAAAAAAACCATGTATTCCCATTGATAATAAAGACATAAGAAAGAAAATTTTTTTTTTTTTTGTACTGAGGATTGAACATAGGGCCTTTAACCACTGAGCCACATCTTCAGCCCTTTTTATAATTTTTTTTTTTTAAATTTCAAAACAAGATCGTGCTAATAAGTTGTTTAGGGCCTTACTAAGTTGCAGAGGCTGGCTTTGAACTTGCAATCTTCCTGCCTTAGGCTCCCAAGCCACTGGGATTACAAGTATGCACATTACATCTGGTAAATTTTGGAGTTTTTAATGCCTTTATATGAATTTCTGTTTTTGGTAGTTAGCATAAAGTCTGAAAATACATGATATTTAATAAATGTTTTTGTTAGTGATCAAGATACAATGCAATTTGTAGTTTTAGAATTTGTACAGAAATTAAGTTGAAGAGACTATTAGTGAAACACTAGCAGATATATTTTTTGAAAGAATCAATAATTATGTTTTCTTTCTTTTTAAATTAGATCTTTATGGCTATACATAGTAGTTGGGTTCATCCCGACAAACTCAGGCATGCATGGACATTGATTTCAGTCCATGATCTCCCCTTTCCCTCCCATCCTCTCCACTCTATCCTCATAATTTTCTTCCTGATTTGGAGTCCAGAGCTTTACAGTGGGAAAAAATTGGGGAATATTGAGCAGAAGAATGTAGATTAGATTTCAGTGTTAATGACATCAGTTAGGAGACAAGAGAGGATTTAGGCACTGAGGATTTTATCCACTTTTGTAACTATTTTGTTTTGATTTAAATTGCCTTAAATTATGACTGGAGGTTATAAAATAATTAACTGTGGCCATGAAATCCTTGAAAGTGTCTCAAAACTTAGCCACATAATCTAGCAATAGATTATCTCCAGGTGAAACTAATTTTTGTTTGACTGCTTTAAATAAGAACGGGACTGGGGGCTGGAGTTGTGGTTCAGTGGTAGAGCGCTTGCCTCACATGTGTGAGGCACTGGGTTCAATTCTCAGCACCTCATATAAATAAATGAATAAAATAAAGGTCCGTGAACACTAAAAAGTATTAAAAAAAAAAAAAAGAACGGGATAATGAACTGTCTACATGAAATGCTTTACATTTAGCGGTATAACTAACACCATGATTTGGCAACTGTTGTCCTACAAAATATGCTTGATTCCATTGTTCATTATAGTTTTGTGGAATCCCCATGGAGGATTATTCCTGTGAGTAATATGTTAAAATGCATACAGGTAAACAGATTCTTAGGATAAGTATACCCGATATTTCCTCATTGTTGAAATAAATAGTTTACAATTTTTGTTTTGTTGTTTAAAGCAGAGAAATCTCTAGTTTTTTGAATACTAGAGCCCTCTATTACTTTCCAGTTCTGAGTTCTGTGTTAGTATTTGATAAATTACTTAACAAAGTCAGTGTGAACTTAATAAATAAATTACTTAACAGTATGATTAAATAATAGATTCAAATGACTGTTTTCTAATCTAAGTAGCATCTATGAACTTCAGACAGATAAGTGTATATGTGGGTTGGGAAGGTAGGTAGCTCGGTGGTAGAGTGCTTCCCTAGCATTTCTTAGATCCCCAGCACTGCCAAAAAAAAAAAAAAAAAAAAGTGTACATGCAGTTGACATTTGCTTAGCCTTTGTATAAAATATCTCAAGACAACTTAGGCTTTTATTAGTTTCTCAGGCCAGGAGAAACTGGCTGTTCTCTGTCTTTTGAGAATTTAATAATGTGATTTAGATGTTGCATTAGTTTTCAGGGCTTTCTTGACAAATCACTACAACTAGATGCCTCTAAAATGACTGATTTTTAACATATGATTTAACATATTGGTTACATTTGTAATACCATCCTTGTTCAGTTTGAATGAAAGAGGTATTTGTTCCTTATCTACAATGATTTTTTTTTTTTATTTTAGAGCTACGCTAGTGAAAAGCTGAATGAATAGAGCAGGGATAAATTTTAGTTTTTCATGGTTTTGATTAAATTAAATAGCAATGTTCTACAAACTTAAATCTCTATTCTCAATATTTATGATTTTTATTGAGACCCACCTCCTAGTTTTTCTATCTTTGTGTACCAGTGAGTAGCCGTTTTAGTAATATATACAACTTCTTATTTAAATTTTTTTTAGTTATTGTTGGACCTTTGTTTTATTCATTTATTTATATGCAGTGCTGAGAATTCTAACCCAGTGCCTCGCATATGCTAGGCAAGTGCTCTACTACTGAATCACACACAACCCCAGCCCTACAACTTTTGTTTGACAGAATATTTAAAAAAATTTATATATATATATATATATACACATATTTACATATTTATATATGTGTGTGTATATATATGTATATATATACACACACACACACACACACACACACACATATTTGCTGAGCATTGAACCCAGGGCCTTGCCTTCACGTGGTAAGTGTGCTCTCTACCACTGAGCCTATACCCCCAGCTAACAGGATCTTCTAATGAGGCTTTATTTAATTTCTCATTGCAAAATCCTCCTTTTCTTTATGTTATATAGGTATCAACCTGACTTTTAATGTAAGTTTGTTAAATAAGTTCTTAAGGAAAACTTTTCTAAAGGATCTTTAATATAACTTAACTTTGAAGTTGTTTTTTTGATGAATAGTTACGTAGATGAACTAACTACATGTTTTAGCAGGAATTTCAGGATGTTTTGGAAGTAATCATCTACTAAAGAGATTGGTTGGGGGAGTGTGGTTTCCTTCCCCTCAAGTTTTGGTGTTCCTCACCAAGGGAGATACCACTAATAAGACTTCGAAAACTAYACTGAATCATACTACTCTTCTACTTACCTGAATCTTAGGCAGAGTGTTGCAGTGTAGTTTACAAAGCTTATTTAAAGATTTGTCTATAGAATTCACAGAGGTTGATCAGACTAAACATTAAACACATTGCTAAACAAGTTTTTCCTCCTTAAGCCTATTTATGAGCATTTAGCATTATGCAAAGAAGACTGATTCTGTAGTACACACACATATATATATATAATTTACATATATATATAAATAAAATTTTTGGTTTTTGGTACTGAGGATTGAACTTGACACTTTACCACTGAGCTATGGTCCCAGCCCTTTTTATTTTATTTTATTTATTTTTTAAATTTTGAGATGGGGTCTCACTAACTTGCTGAGGGCCTCGCTAAATTGCTGAGGCTGTCTTTGAATCTGCAATTCTCCTACCTCAGGCTCCTGAGTTTCTGGGATTATAAGTGCATGCCTAGCTCTCTACTACATGCATGTATTATCTTAGTTTAATTTAATAGCCATGAAGGTATTTTATTTTATACAAGGAAACCTAGGCATAAAGACATGGAAGTTGTTTGTGGTGTGCTATGTCTATAAAATGGTGGGTTTGGTAGTCAAATATCATAACAGAATTTTTCTGGTCCTCCCTTCCTCTTTCTGATTCATTCTTTCATTTGTGCACGCTATAGAACCTAGGGTCTTGATGCATACTAGACAAAGCAGTCTTTCACTGAGCTATACCCCAGCCCTCTGTTCTTCCTGCTATTTTCCCATATGTACTCTTGGGTCTCCAAATCAGAAAGCTCAGATAGCCACTATTGTGTTGATTCTTCAATCTTCTGGAAATAGTACTGAGTAGATGAAGAATTAAGGAATGGGTTAGGGTGTTTGTGTATAAATGAAGCGTCCATTGAAAAAAATGGATCAGTTGGTGCAATCTCTGTCAAAGATTCTCTCTTGCAATTCCTTTATTTATTCATTTTTATCAGAAAGATACTTATCCAGTTTAGCTATCATAATTTGAAACCTTTGCAGAATTTTGCCTTTTAAGTAGATTACACATTTTTTTCAGGCCTTTCAGAATTAGTACCCTCCTAAATGGTAGACTTTACTGCTTATTGTAGTCTCTCTTTACAGCTAAAAATGTGGGAAATTGAAATAATTGTTTTTCTTTCTAGATTAACTGCTGAAGTACTGATCGAGTTCTGCGTTTCTTCAATGAGGAACTACAGGCTGATCTTCTGCCATAATCTTAAACAACCATAAATGACAAAAGAATGCTTGCTCAGTGAGGGTAGCTGGTGCAGAAGCAATTTTTTAAACTTAGGTGTTTAAGTACTCAAAGGTAAGTTTTAAAATGGTACCATCTCATGCTCTATAAATCCACAGAGATTTTAGAAGTTTGCCCTCTATAGCTGCCATTTTTTTAATAGTATCAGTTTTTCTTGTAGCTGCTATAAGGAGTGTTGAAGAATGGATGCTGCTTGTCCAAAACTGTGTAAATTTATGTCTTTTTCTTGTTCCTAAATTAATTTCTACTGTTACTATGAATTGGCTGGGTTGTTTCCTAATCATGTTGTAATCTTCTCTTGATGTAGAAGTATACAGTTGATCCAGTGGGCCTTATATTGGTGAACTTTAGAATCTTGAGAAGATACATATTTGTTATCTATAGTGTCTTTTTTTATTATAAAAAGGTCTTTCTTTTAAAATTCTCCTTTCCTACATAAAATAATAAATGTTTATTGAATGAATCTTTATGGACTACTACTTTGTTTGGTACCAGGGCACTGGAGCTCTGAGCCAGAGCTCTGAGCTCTGTTTTGTATTTTATTTAGAGGCAGGGTCTCACTGAGTTGCTTAGCGCCTTGCTATTGCTGAGACTGGCTTTGAACTTGTGATCCTCTTGCCTCAGCCTCCCCAGCCGCTGGGATTACAGCTGTGCACCATTGTGCCCAGCTTGACTACTATTTTTTTAATACCACAAATGATTGAAGTCAGCCACCTGAGGCATTGGTGAGGCTTCCTCCTATTGCTTCGTTACTGATCCTAGTTCCTAGAAAGTTAAGGCAAATAAATATTTCTTCTGATGAGACTGATTCTGGAATTTTTTTTTTAATGTGTTATAGCTGCTTTGTCTTGTTGAAATAAGAGCCAATTAATTTTGTTCTTATTAGCCCATCATTTCTAAAAAGTGATTCTCACCTGTTTTGGTGTTTACAAATTGAGGGCTTAGATGAGCTTCATATATCAGATTCCAGAGGTGGATTAGGTTTGACTTTTTACCTGTTTCATTAATAAGGTTGGTTAGTAAAGGTCTTTTAGAGCAAGATTTGTCCCTTAATTTGTCTTTGGAACATTAATGCTTGTTGCTGAATTTTGGATGATCAGTTTTGCCATTTGTTATTAAATGTGCAAACACTAAAAGCATTCAGAACTAACTTTGGAGTAGAGAAAATGCTTTCATAATTGTATTGAGTTAAATTTATTTGTAGAATTTATCATTGGTCGGTAACTGGAATATATTTAAATAGACGAAAACACATTCAGGTGTAAAGCATTTTTCTTTAATGTATACAGTCATATTGCCACCTGTTAATCATTATAGTCTTTTTTTTTCTTTTTTTCCTTTTTTTTTTTCCCCTTGTCTTTCATTTGGCAGAAAAGACAGCTTTGATTTCTGGCTGCAAAAAAGATATGAGGAAGAGCTCCTCCCCTTCCTTGAGTAACTGCAACTCCGTTCTTGCTAACAAAATATTTGGAATTCCACTTGATGAGCTGCAGCAGGGAGGACATCCAGACAATGAGGTTCCGTTCATAGTCCGCCACGTTGTGGACTATATTGAGGAACATGGTATACATTTTCTTACTTTGAGGGCTAGCTTTTATTTTAATAAACACAACTTATCCCTCTTTGATCTTGGCTTAAAAATATTTTTTTGGTATGAAAAGTGCAAAACTGGATAAACAATAGAAATTCTTTTTAAGGTTTTAATATGTTTCTTACTTAAATTCATATACCTAGAAATGATAATTGCTCAGCCTGGAACATTTTTTAGTGGGGGTGATAGAAATATTTTTAATGAATATAAGGGGTGGGATGAAATAGAATATCCCTCAGAGATAGTGTGTGATTGATTTGACAGTTTTAATGAAAATCTGGGGAGCCAAGAAAGGCTTTCCAAAAGTATTAAGTATTTCAGGTTGGTTGTAGAATGAATATATATGGTCAAGTAGTTGAAGTTGCAGCATATTTAATTTTTGCTTTGAACTAATGTAGGCGGTCTGGAGCAACAAGGACTTTTTCAAGTCAATGGAAATGCTGAGACAGTGGAGTGGCTTCGGCAGAGATACGACAGTGGAGAAGAGGTGGATTTGGTTAAGGAAGCAGATGTTCCCTCAGCTATTAGTCTTCTTAGGTTTTTCCTTCAAGAACTTCCTGAACCTGTTATTCCTGGCAGTTTGCATATTCACCTTATGCAACTTTCTCAAGGTAAAATAATTCTTGTTAATCAGTTATTAATTTCAGAATCCTGGCCTTTTAGAAGTTTTTTTTTGCAGGGGAGGGAGGTTTGCTGAGGATTGAACCAAGGAGTGCCTTACTTCTGAGCTACATCCCAGCCCTTTTTTATTTTGAGACAGAGTCTTGCCAGTTTGCTTAAAGGCCTTGCTAAATTATTGAGACTGGCCTCAAAGAACTTGTGATCCTCCTGCCTTAGCCTCCCAAGTTGCTAGGAGTACATATATAGTATTTCAGAGGTTAATTTCTTGTTTTCTCATTTGCTCTTTTGGGCTCCATGGTCTAGACAAGGAGATGGCAACTTCTTGGATCCCTAGTATTTTTTACTATTTTATGATTTTGTTAAACCAAAGTTAGAGGCAAAAGAGAAGGAGGAAAACGACGGTATTACCAGTTTAATCTTTTGGGAAGGTGATATATCTCTCCATTTATATTAGGTAAATATTGTTATTGTGTATTCATTCAGCTAACTCAGCTATTCATTGAATACTTTAAAAAAAAATTTTTTTTTTTTAGTTGTTGATAAGACCTCTATTTATTTGTATGCGGTGCTGACAATTTTACCCAGTGCCTCACACATGCCAGGCAAGTGCGCTCCCACTGAGCCACAGCCCCAGCCCCACATTGAATACTTTCTCTATGCTAGACACTATTCTAGATGCTGGGAATGCATCACTAAACAAAACTAGTTAAAAATCTCTGCCCTCAGTGGAGCTAAAATTTTAAAGGGAGGTAGAGGAAAAATAGATGATAAACAAAATTATGTGATTATGATACAAGATGATAAATGGCTATACAACTGGAGAAGATGTTAGGTAGAATTTGTGTTGGTATAATCATTATATAATATTAATTGCTTATATTTCTTCTGGCTTATAATTTTCTTGTTTTTTTATTTTAATAAACACAACTTAACCCTCTTTGATTATTTTCTTAAATAACCCTTTTCTGCTAAATGCTTAGGTTGTTAAATTTAATTTTCTACCACTTATATGTACAGGGATTTAAAACACATTAATCCAGGGACAGTTCTATTCAATTACAAGATCAAAGTACTGGCCCATTTGAATGGACACTTGGTAATATTACAAAGCATAAAGTTGTTATTGATTTCATTTTTAACGCCCCCCATAGACCTTTATTTTATTTATGTGGTGCTAGGTAAGCACTCTACCACTGAGCCACAACCCAGCCCACATTTTAAATTTTAAGTAAAGTTCACATGACTATCGTCTTTCCCTGATAAACTTTTTAGATTTGCAGAGATAGACAGTATCATGACTATGGCCTTTTATATGTATATGTATATGTATATGTATATGTGTATGTATATGTGTGTGTGTGTGTGTGTGTGTATATATATATATATATATATATATATATGTTGTTGATGGACCTGTATTTAACTTATTATATGCGGTGCTAAGAGTTGAAGCCAGTGTAATTTTGCAGAGATGGACGTTTTCTTGACCATTACTTTTTTTTTTTTTTTTGTAGTTGGTGATAGACCTGTATTTAATTTATTTATATGTGGTGCTGAGAATTGAACCCAGTGCCTCACATATGCTAGGCAAGCACTCTACCACTGAGCTACAACCCCAGTTGTGACCATAGCCTTTTACCAAGTTTTTCTGTGCTGGGCAATGATATTGACCAAATTATGTTGTTATATTGTGTGTATGTACAAATGTGTAACAACAAATTCCATCATTACATACAACTAGAATGCACTCATAAAATATGTGTGTGTGGGGAGTTTTTCTGTGAGTTAATTTTCGGGACCTGCAGAAATATACAAGATGAAATATATTGGATTGATATTTGCTACTGGAGAAATCCTTTATTTTGAGAGCATCTTTGAGAAATTACCCGTTCTCAACGGGACTTGAGATAAATCCCTGGGTTTAGTAGCCTGTTTTATGTTAGTGAAAACTTATTGACATGATAAACACAAGGACTTGCTTCGGTGATAAAATTTACTTTTTCTGGGGGTAGGGGGGTGGTACCGGGGATTGAACTCAGGGGCACTAACCACTGAGCCCCATCCCCAGCCTTATTTTATTTTATTTAGAGACAGGGTCTCACTGAGTTGCTTAGTGCCTTGCTTTTTTTGAGGCTGGCTTTGAACTCTCTCTTGATCCTCCTGCCTCAGCCTCCTGAGCTGCTGGGATTACAGGTGTGCGCCACTGCACCCTTCTCACTTTATTTTTTATTTTATTTATTCTTTTGCGATATGATATTGGTGATGGAACCAGGAGTGTTCTACCCCTTAACTACATCCCCAGTCCCTTTTTATTATATTTTGAGACTGAGTCTTGCTAAGTTGTGGAAGGTGGCTTCCATCTTGCTATTCTTCTACTTCAACCTTCTGAATTGCTGGAAATACAGGCCTGTGCCACCGTGCCTTATTAAGTTCCCTTGTTAAGAAAGAAACTGGCATACAGGGGCACAGTGGCTTATGCTTTTATCCCAGCAACTCAAGAGACTGGGAGACTGAGGCAGGAGGATTACAAGTTCAAGGCCAGCCTGGGCAACTTAGCCGAGTTCCTATCCCAAGATAAAAAGGGCTGAGGAGCCCCATTTCAGTAGTAGAGTACTTGTATAGCTTGTGTGACACTCTGGGCTCAATGCCACCCTAACCCAGCATCTATTTAGGGGAGAAAACTAGATGAGACACAGAAGATCTTTTAATTTAGTTCTATTGATAATATTGAAGTTAATTGTTCTTTTAGAATGTCTGGGGAAAAAGAAAGACACATTGTCTTCTTGTGTTCATTCCTTGTTTTCTTTTTCATTCAAGTGGAAAAATATCACTGATACTATTAGTTTGTTGAATTGCATCTCTACTTTCCTCATTATTAGTTTGCACTAACTGGCATGGCCAGTGTTTTTTGACTTCTTATATTTGGTACTAGTTTGGAAAAACAGGTATAGTCATGCAAGAGACAGTATGATGAGCACTTTTTAAAAATTAGAAAATTAAGGCCAATGAGTAATAGGTGAGGAAAACATCCCCTAGCAATTGAAAGCTTGAGTTCCTTTCTCCACCTCCTCCTTTCCAATACTTCTCCTACTTAATAAGTGAAATGCAAAGCCCTAAGGCAAAATGCCTCTAGTAGAGGAAGTGAAGAGGTTTTTGAGTTATTATAGTAAAAAGGTGATGTGGGTGGAGTAATGTGATTCTGGCAAAGTATCTGAGCTTTACTTTTTACTTCATTAAGAAAATCTGTCATTATGTTTTTATAGATTATAATAATGAAGATGAATTTGGAAGAAAGTTGAGATTCCTCTTGCAACAGCTTCCACCTGTTAATTACAGTTTGTTAAAGTTTCTGTGTAGATTTTTAGCCAATGTAGCATCACATCATGAAGAAATTTGGTCTGCAAATTCTTTGGCTGCTGTCTTTGGTCCAGATGTCTTCCAGTAAGTTCTTTCACAGATTTTTGTTTAGTTTTTAAAAATGGGCTTGTGGAAGAGAAGCATTATATTTTCTCTCAAAGATCATAGGATACTTGAGGAACCATTATCTTTTATAGTAGATCTGATTAATCCTTGCATCATTTCTATAAACAGTACAAATTAGGTAGGTTTTACAGATGGGAAAACTGAGGCACAGAATAATGCTGTAAGTTGCTCAGGTTTATAAGGTGACTCATTGGTTCTTTTCTAACTTTACGATTAATTTAATAACTCTCAATGTGGACTTTTCTTCTCAGCATTTACACAGATGTGGAAGATATGAAAGAGCAAGAAATTGTGAGCAGGATAATGGCGGGACTTCTGGAAAATTACTATGAATTTTTTGAAAATGAAGAGGAAGATTTTTCATCAAATGATTTGAGCTCAATTACAGAACAGGTGAGAAAATTTTAAAATTCTATTTGAAAATGAGAATTTTTGTTTTTAAGAATATGCTCTTTATGAGTTGACATAAGCTTACACAGAATTTAAGTACTGAACTGGAGATGGTTCTCTTGATTAAAATATAGTCAGTAGGTTTTTTTTTGGTTGCCTCTGAACAACTTTCTGTCCTCCATTTGGGCAATAGGGAAAAGTCATTTATTTTCTATTTTAGTTTTTGCAGTGCTAGGGATTGAACCCAAGGCCTCAGGCATGCAGGCAGGATCTCTATCAGTGAACTGCATCCCAATCCTTTACAGACTCTCAGAAATTTGAAATTTTTCTGGATTAAAATAACAGGTCAAGATAGTATTGTAATCGTTCTCATTAATGGAAAGCATCTGGAAATTCATAGGTTAAGTTACAGATAATTTTTTAATTCTGTTGACTCTAGAATATCAAAATCCATTTCCAAATGGTGTGGTACTGCATGCCTGTAATCCCAGCGATATGGGAGGCTGAGGCAGATGGATCACAAGTTTGAGGCCAACTTTAGCAATTTAGTAAGACCCTGTCTCACCTTTTTATTTTTGAATAAAAAGCTGGACGTGGGCCTGGGTTGTGGTTCAGCAGTAGAGCACTCTTCCTGGCATGTATGAGGCACTGGGTTCAATCCTCAGCACCACATAAACATAAATAAAATAAAGGTATTGTGTCCAACTACAACTAAAAAATATTTAAAAAAAATTTAAAAAGCTGGACATGGTGGAGCACTCCTGTAAGCCCAGCGGCTCACAGAGCTGAGGCAGGAGGATTGCAAGTTCAAAGCCAGCCTTAGCAACTTAGCAAGGCCCTAAGCAATTTGGCAGGACCTGGTCTCAAAATTAAAAAGAAAAAGAAGAATGGGCTGGGGATGTGGCTCAGTGATAAAGGACCTCTGAGTTCAATCCCTAGTAACCCCCCTCCCCTGAAAATAAAAGGGGGAAAAATATATTTCTAAAGCTATTTTTTGTTCTTTGTTGTTATTCCTATGCTCTGATGACTAGATTGAGACTGTTCAAGGATCCTGTTTGCTTTTTTCCTTTCTGAAATGGGAGTATTGAAGCTGAGTATTTGCACTTAGGTGGTTTGCCACCAAACTTCTGTTAATTAAAAACTATGAAGTTATTTATATTTGGGGTGGGGTTGATACTTTATTCTTTTATGGATAATAATGTACCTGGTTTTAAAAAAAAGTAAAATATACTTTGCCCTGCTCTACTACTGATTTCTGATGTTTTCCCAGAATATTTTAATGTAAATACAGGTACATATCTTTTCAGTTTTAAAAAAATTTTTTTAAATTTTTTTAGTTGTCAATGAGATCTTAATTTTATTTATTTATATGTGGTTCTGAGAATTGAACCAAGTGCCTCTCACGTGCTAGGCAAGTGCGTTACCACTGAGCAACAACCACCTAGCCCTTGTCTCAGGTTTTTTTTTTTTTTTTTAAGTTGCCAATGGACCTTTATTAATTAATTAATTAATTAATTTTTTTTTTAAAGAGAGAGTGAGAGAGGAGAGAGAGAGAGAGAGAGAGAGAGAATTTTTTAATATTTATTTTTTAGTTCTCGGCGGACACAACATCTTTGTTGGTATGTGGTGCTGAGGATCGAACCCGGGCTGCACGCATGCCAGGCGAGCGCGTTACCGCTTGAGCCACATCCCCAGCCCTATTAATTTATTTACATGTGGTGCTGAGAATAAAACCCAATGCCTCACTCGCTAGGCGAGTGTTCTACCACTGAGCCACAACCCCCAGCCCCCTCTCAGTTTTTTAATAGAAAAGTAGCTTAGCACTACACTGATCTGTATCTTGTTTTATATCACTTAATAGTATATCTTGTAGATTTTTCTTATCAGTATATAGAGGGCGTATTCTTTTATTTTTACCTCTGTGTAATTTCTATTGTATAGATAGAATTTTAGCATTTGATTTTATAGTTCTATTTCCACTTGAAAAGGTTTTCTCAGAACAGTTCTGGTTTATATCTATTTCTAGTATAATATTTAGTAACTCCAGCTGTCACTGTCACATGTGTCCAGGTTTTAATGATAAATTGTATGACTATACTATTTGTTTAAATGAATGAATTACATTTTATTTATTTATTTTTGCAGTACTGGGGAATGAACCAGGAGCATTCTGTCTCTGAATAATATCCTTAGCTCTTTTTTAGTAATTTTGAGACAGAGTCTAAGTTGTCCATGGTGGCCTCAAACTTAAAATCCTCCTGCTTTAGTCTGTCCAGTAACTGGAAATATAGATGTGCATCATCACTCTTAGGTACACACTATTAAGTGATGGACATTTGGGTTGGTTCCTTTTCTTTGGCTGCAATATTAAAGTAGCAGCTCTTGAAAGGTAGTTTATTATACAGATTGTCTTTTTTTGTGTGTGTGTGGGAGGTAGTGCTTGGGATAGAACTAAGGCCTTGTACATGCCTGCAAAGCACTCTGCCTCTGAGGTCTATGTCCAGCCCCATCATACAGATTTTCATTATTTCTGATAGTTCTTGTAAATGATTGTGTGAATTAGAAGTTTTATTTCTGAGTACTTATAGCTTTTTTGTGTGTGTGGGATGTGGGGTACTGGGGATTGAACTCAGGGACATTCGTCCACTGAGCCACATCCCAGGCCCTACTTTGTTTTTTATTTAGAGATAGAGTCTCACTGAGTTGCTTAGCATCTTACTTTTGTTGAGGCTGGCTTCGAACTCGCTATCTTTCTTCCTCAGCCTCCCGAGCCACWGGGATTTACTTACAGCTTTTGTTTAAAAGATTTTCTATTCTTTTGTAAACTTTTACTTTTTAACATTTGGGGTTCATACCTTCCTTAATTTTTAAGGTGAGCATTTTAATCTTTTGTTTTCGTTCCCTTTCTCTCTTTTCCCCTTATTCTCTTCTGAATTCCTTCCTTTTTTTTTTTTCCTTTTTCTGTTTCTGCCTTTCCATCTCCATCTTTCAAGTCTCAGTGACTTTAAAGAAATAGTAACAGACGCCAGATAGCAGTCTGTAAGCTGAGGATGAAATCTCTGTGTGTGTATGTATACACGTGTATTTATGTGTGAAATAAATGGGTAGAATTTATGACCTGAATCAGTGATATTTAGACTTTTCTTTTCTTTTTTTTTTTTTGGTAGTGGTTATTAAACCTAGGGCACTTTACCACTGAACCACAACCCCAGCCCTTTTTTTTATGTTTTTCTGTGAGACAGGGTCTTGATAAGTTGCTGAGGTTGGTCTTGAACTTGTGATCCTCATTCCTCAACCYCCCAAGTCACTAGGATTACAGGCATGTGCCACAGTTCCTGGAAGTATCTGAGGATTGAACCTAGGGCCTTTTTTGTGCTAGGCAAGCACTTTGCTACTGAGGTATTATTTCCAACCACTTGATACTTTTTTTTTTTTTTGGTACTGGGTATCAAACACTGGGCTACATCCCCATCCCTTTTAAAAATTTTTTATTTTGCGACACAGCCTCATTAAATTGCCCAGGCTGGTCTTGATCCTCYTGCCTCAACTCCCAAGTAACTGGGATTATAGGCATGTACCATTGTGCTGGATTCCTTGATATATTTTTTTGAAAGTTTCCAGTTATCATATATAGTTCCTGACTTAAAAATTAAAGAACTAATGTTTCTCTTCTAAATTATTCTTGCTTAGGACTGGGGATGTAGCTCACTTGCCTAGTACTTGCCTGGGTTTAATTCCTAGTACCACCAAAAAAACCCTAAAAGATTAGAACTACTATCCAAATTATTCTTGCTTAAAAGAAAATGACAAGAAGATGACAAGTAGATAGATGTGCTTTAAACCTTAATATATTTCCATGCCTTTAAGTAATCTCATCTGTTGAGAAAATTTGCATGTCACCTTTCTGTTCTTAAATTATGTCTTAAGTCAGCATTTTTTTAGTAAATTAATGGCTGTTCAAAGTGAAATAATATACATATTTGTGTCACTAATTTTCTACATTTCTAAGATGATTTGACTTGTGAGAAATTGGTGATGCCAATTTGACCCAATGTCTTGACTCCTAAAATCTACAAGATATGCCTTACGTTTTATATTGTGGTATAATTATCATGTGGTTTCCTGATGTTGCTGAAATATATCTGTAGCTTATTTGTATTGCATCAGTGATTTTGTATTTATTAAGCAGTAGTAAAATTGACTTAACATGTATTGTTTTATGTGAGAGTGAATTCTGCAGATTTAGCCATGGATATAAAAGAACATTTTTAGCTTTTTGAGTAGAATGTGCCCAAGTAAATGGGATTGTGCCAGGGGTCCTAAGTGATTGTGATATGTGTGTGTGTGTGTGTGTGTGTGTGTGATATAATATATGTGTGTGTGTGTGTGTGTGTGTGTGTGTGTGTATATTTATTTATTTAATCTTTGACTCATGTTGCTAATTACCAGAATTCATTTTCTTAACTATTTTTATTAATTTCTGAGTTACAATGGGTTGCAAGTAACAAAAGTAGAGATTGTAAAGTTTGGTCTTTTTAAAGCAGATTTGATAAAGTAGATTTGTGTAGCAGAATGATCTGATAATGTAATTCTCTGAAAGTAGATGAGTGAAATAAAATATCCTCACACTTAGCATAATTTGCTTGTGTGTTTTGAGTTGGTCTAACTTAAATATTCCTAATGTCTTATTCACATATTTAAAGATGTAGGGAAACATGGCTCATCTGGCAGTGCTTTGCTTTTTCTCCTGATTTTGTATTTGAAGGAAGCAAAAATTTATGTAGCACTTCTTTTGGCATTTCATTCCACTAATACAAGTATTTGGCTGTTAAAATCCTGTCAGGGTGGTAGATATTTTTATTAAATACATGAGAGAGATGKTTGGAGATGATTAATAGGTAGTGTTAAAAAAATGACACAGAGTCTAGGTGGACTTTATATGGAATCGAATACAAATCCAGTATAGTGATTTGAAGATGGAGGTGATAATAATGTTTCTTTGTACATTTGAGAAGGCAGGTAGCAGCGTTCTCCACAAACTGGAGTCTGGAGAGCAGGCATTTCACGAGGCCCTAGAGAAGGGAATTACAGCAGTCAAAGAAAGAAGAGATGTAAGTATGGATGAGGGTTTTCCATAAGTGAAGTTGAGGCTGCTGCATACAGAGGGCAAATTCAAAGTAACTTAACAGAATAGGGTGTTGGTAAGAAGGTCAAGTTGACCAGGCAAAGATCAAGAAAAACTTTGAGGATTCAAAGTTTGAGGATTCTAATGCTTACACTTTTTTAAAAATATTTTTTTAGTTATAGATGGGCACAATATCTTTATTTTTGTGTAGTGCTGAGGATTGAACCCAGGCCTCACACATGTGAGGCAAGTGTTCTACCACTGAGCTACAGCCCCAGCCCTAATGCTTAGTCCTGTTCGAAATAATTGAGTTGAATTCTTACAGAAGAAATTACATTAGAAGGCCTGGGAGTTGGATTTGGGGAGAAGGAAAAAACGCTAGATATTGTTCACGTTGTATCTTAGTATACTATTGGTAAAGATACTGGAGAATGTCAATTTATGTAAAACTTATTGAATATAATGTAATCAGTATAGTGGAGTAGTCTTTGAAGTTCCTAAGAGCTATTGGCTATAGGAACAAAATTATTTAAAAAAGTGTGATGTAACATATTACAATAGTATCTATATAAAAAATGTGTGGGGCTGGGGATGTGGCTCAAGCAGTAGCGCGCTCGTCTGGCATGTGTGCGGCCCGGGTTCGATCCTCAGCACCACATACCAACAAAGATGTTGTGTCCGCCAAGAACTAATAAATAAATAAATATTAAAACATTCTCTCTCTCTCTCTCTTTCCTCTCTCACTCTCTCTTTAAAAAAAAAAATGTGTGGACTGAATAAGTATTTATTCTCAGTTTAAAAAGCCATCTTTATTTATTTTTTGATACTCTGCAGTTGTATTCAAACTTATTATTCAGCTGCAGTCATTCCCATTTTATAGTTGTGAAAACAGTATTTTCCCCTTCAGTATTTTTCTTGCTTAGGTTACCAGGTTAATGTGTCTTAAGTACATTCTCTTGACTTTCACTAATTAATTAAATACATAGATGAGAAAGAAGGATAATTTTAATTCTTTAAAAAATTTTTTTAAAATATTTATTTTTTAGTTGTAGGTGGACACACAATCTTTATTTCATTTTTATGTGGTGCTGATGATCAAACCTGGTACCTCATGTGTGCTAGGTAAGCACGCAACCACTGAGCCACAACCCCACCCAAATTCTTTAAAAATTGATCTGTCATTTTGAATTTTCATCTTTGTGTATAAATTATTTTTTTCTTTTTCTCTTGGTGATACCAGAGATTGAACATAGGCAACATGCTAGGCAAGTGTTCTACCACTGAGCTATATCCCCAGCTTCCTTTGTGTATAAATCTTAACTTCTTGGTTAATAACCACTTAGGCCAGTGATTATCAGTTTTTCCCATCACAGTTGTACATGACATGTGATAGATGAGGGGTGACATTTACAAGCATAACAAAGTTAGCAATCTGTTGCATATACTTTATATATGAAGTAAATAGTTTACAAAATGAGGTCATAAATTGTTAGAAGGGTCACTAAAAATTAATTACTGACTAATGACTTTGATACACCAATGGTTTAGAGCTTTTGCTTATGGTTTAGATGGTCRTTCTCTTCCTGCTGAAGTGTTTATGTGTATTGTTTAATCCTTTCAATCCAGTTCTGTGAGGTAAGTAGTATAATATCTATATTCACACATTCCTTTTAGCCACTATAACTTCTCCAAGTCTTAGGTATGAAATGGAAATATTATACTACAGTTTTTTCTGCCTCTGAAGCCTTTTTAACTATCATTGTTATACTTTAGATAGTCAATGTGTTTTTGATTAGGAATATCAGCATTAACTCTTTGATTGCAGTTTTACTTTCTGACAGTATTTTACCAACTGTATTTGTATGTCCACCAAGTAAAATACCACTAATATATGTAGTAACAAAATTTATTCTAGATATGTCCATTGTGTTTGGCTAGAATGGACTGGAAGTGTACTTAAAAAAAAAAAAAAATTGGTCCTGGGGCCTTGCACATGATCTACCTCTGAGCTATACCCATAGCCTCCAAAAGTATACTTTCTTGCTTATGTTTTTAATGACAAGTATTTGCTTATAAACTCTAAATAAAATACAAAATAGGGCTGGGGATGTGGCTCAGTAGTTGAGTGACCACAAGTTCAATCCCAGTTACCCCCTCCCCAAATGGATATTATGACCATGTATAGGCAATTTCTTCTTTGGGATAACTTCAAAATATTTCTCATTCAAAAATATTTAACTGATTTTCCTTCTTGAGTATTTTAGTGTCTTTTTATTAGAATGATTTCCTAATAGAGCCAGTTTGATGATGGAAAACATTTTATAACTTGTGCTTAATGGTCAAAATCCAAGTTCTTCCTTGTTACAGTTCTAATTTATTTATGAAAAATTTAATCTGACTCATTTAGAAGTTTGCTGACAATTTCTAAAGCATAGCTAATACCTTAATGCAAAATTTTTGTGCCTATTTTCACACTTACTGTGTATTAAAATGACTTGTTTACTATACCTGGAAACCTGATAAAATAGAAGTCTTTTGTAACTAATTTTTTTAAAAAATATTTTTAGTTGCCATTAATCTTTATTTTGTTTATTTATCTCTATGTGGTGCTGAGAATCAAACCTAGTGCCTCACATGTGCTAGGCAAGCACTCTGCCACYGAGTCACAACCCAGCCCTCTTTTTGTAACTATTATATTTACAAAACCAATTAGAAAATGAAGCTTTCTTAATGATAACTACAATGTGCAGGAATTTAATTAGTTTGCAGTCTGATTCATGTTTCTAGTGATGTAGTTATTCAGTTATTTCTGCTTCAAAATATTATATTTTTCTGGTTTATAATTTTATTTGTTTTGTGGGATCGAACCTTGGGCCTCTTGCATGCTAGGCAGGCACTCTTCCTTGAGTCACTGTACCTCTCCCTACCACTTCCAGCCTTTATTTTGAGACAGGGTCTAGAAACATTGTCCAGGCTGGCATGGAACTGGGGTCCCCCTGCCTCAGCTTTCTGAGTAGCTGGGATTGCACCCTGTTCCTACAATTTTTTTTATTAGTTATATACATGAGAGTACAATGACCTTGACATATCACACATTTGAATCACATGGAATACAATATCTCATTTTTCTGAGTATACAGGTTGCAGAATCACATTGGTCATGCATTCACATACCTACAATTTTTTTATATAAAAAAGTTGGTGGTCACTCCATAAGAGAGATTGGTTTTAAGAAATGAAGAAATTTTAAAAGTTTGTGTTTATAATTTTCTTGAAGTGTTATGTCTCAGATATGTCRTATGAGTTTATTTTTATTCATATAGGTTAATGAACTTTCTGAGGAAGAAGAGGAAGATGAAAAGCTGGAACATATAGAAGAACTTCCAGAAGAGGGTACAGAAAAATCAAATGACGTGCCAGAGGTGGTACAATTAAGAATAACTGAAAACATCCTGGAATCAAGTAATGTTACAGCATCAACAAGGTAAATATTTCAATTGATTGGACTTTACCTTTTGAGCATTTCTTTCTACACGTATATTCCAACATGATATACAAATTATATCTACATGTAAAAGATTGACATTTTTGAATAAGAAACAAGAAGAAGAAAATTTAAGGCAGCACCCTTACTAAGGAGTTTTCAGTTATTAAAGTTATACCTTCCTTCAAAAATCAAACCTCTTTGGCCAAGGGTGTAGCTCAGTGGTAGAGCACTTGCCTAACATGTTTGAGGCCCTGTGTTCAATCCCKGGCAAAGTAAGAATTAAATAAATAAATAATCAGTCTTACATTTTTTTCATAAAATATGTTTTTTATATTACATTGTTTAAATATATAAAATTATAATTTTATATTAGCTTGATGATATTTTGATAATTCTACAGGTAGAATTGCTAGAGAAGCATATAGTAATTGAATTTACTTGTATTTCCAGCTTGTAGGCTACAACTAGGTTGAAGTCTGATTTTATTAAAATAGAGCTTTCTAATCCTTTTCATGATAAAATGAAAGTATTTACATGACAGGCTGAATAAGTTTGGAAAATGGGGTAGGCACTATCCCATCAGATATCCAGGACCATTTTGTGCACTGTTTAGGAAACTTCAGAGAATTCAAGAACTTCTGAAACATAGTTTTGGATTTGCTAAATTCTCTGCAAGTTTTCTATATGGCTCCATGGTTTACTGATCCCTTTTAATTTAAAGGGCAAATCTATCTCTTTAGTATGTTAGATTTTTTTTTATGTTTATTTTGATTCAATGCTGGTTAAAAAGCAGAGGAAATGATAATTTTGAGTCTGGAAAAAAAAAGTCATTTAAAAATAACTGGTAATGCCAAGCACAGTGGCTCATTCCTGTAATCGCAGCTACTTAGGAGGACAAGACAGGAGAATTGCAAGTTTAAGGATCCTATATTAAAATAAAATAAAGGGCTGGGAATGTAGCTCAGTGGTGGAGTCCTTGTCTAGCATGCTTGAGGCTCTGATGTCAGTCCTCAGTACTGTAAAACAAATAAACAAAAAAACGCTGTTAGTAAGAATTTGGAAAATGAAATCGGCTAGAAGAACCAGTCTGCTAACAAAAGTGACTGGAAATTTGTTTATGATGGTCTCTTTATTATTATTATTATTATTATTAATTTTTAACATAATACCTTGTGTACCTTTATGGGTTTTGGTATTTCCAAACCACTTCAGAAAGACTTGATCCAATTTAAATTGCCCTTGCAATACATATACAGACAAATACAAATACATATGTTCTACCCCTGCACCAACCATCGTGCTGGAGATTGAACCCAGGTGTGCTCTGCCTTTTTATTTTTTGGTTTGAGACAGGGTTTTCCTAAGTTGTGGAGGCTGGCCTTGAATAACTAGCCAGGCTAGCAGTACTTTCTTGAGGAAATGACAACAGTAGATTTAAATGAGTATTTTAAATTTAGTTAAGTTAGAGCTATGTTCTCCAATGAGGTATGTACTTAAACTAATAACAAGTGTATGTACTTAAACTAATTAGAATTAAACACAATTTATATTAAAAAAAATTTTTTTTGGTACCAGTGATTGAACCCAGGAGTGATTTACCACTGAGCTAACTCCCCAGCCCTTTTTTCTATTTTATTATTTTATATATCTACAACTACAAATATATATTTGTAGTTGTAGATAGACAGAATGCCTTTATTTTGTTTATTTTATTATTATTTTTTGTAGTTGTGTATGGACAGAATACCTTTATTTTATTTGTTTATATTTTTGTGATGCTGAGAATCGAACCCAGTGCCTCACACATGCTTGGCAAGCGCTTTGCCACTGAACTGCAGCCCCAGGCCTTATTTGTTTATTTTTAGTTTGGGTATTGAGGATTAGACCCAGGGATGCTAACACGGAGTCCCATCCCTAGCCCTTTTTTTATTCTGAGWCAGAATCTCACTAAGTTGCTGAGGTTGGTCTTGAATTTTGAATCCTGGTGTCTCAGCCTCCCAAGTTGCTGAGATTAGGTATACATCACCACACCTGGCACCCTTTTTGTTTTGAGATGGGACCTTGCTTAGTTGCTGAGGCTGGCTTCAAATTTGGCAATCCTCCTGTCTCAGCCTCTTGAATTACTGGGATTACAGGCATGTGTCACTGTGTCTAGTAAAATATTTTTAATGACGTGATTGTGACCCCTCCCCCAACTTGTTACATGTGTATTAATATCTTCAGTGTCTGGCTTAATGGATTCTCATAATTTGTTCTGCATTTAATCTGTTGCTATTATGATCTGAATGTTGGTGACTTCTCAAAATTCTTTTTTTTAATATTTATTTTTTAGTTGTAGTTGGACACAATACTTTTATTTTACTTGTTTATTTTYATATGGTGCTGAGGTTTGAACCCATGGCCTTGCACGTCTTAAGCGAGTGCTCTACCACTGAGCCACAACYTCAGCCTGACTTCTCAAAATTTTTTTGTTGAGATCCTAATTGTCAAGGCTTTTGTATTAGTAGGAGGTGAGGCTTTGGGGGAAGTGATTAGATTTGTTTGGGGTGAGGTAACCCTCATGGATGGGAACAGTGACCTTATAAAAGTGTCCTGAAAGAGACCCTGCACTCCTGATATGTGCAGTAAAAGGACAGCATGATTGGGCCCTCACCAGATACTGAATCACAATTTTGGTTATATAAAGTGGCAGAGAACTTGACTGAATTGTGTTCATGTTGGTATTTTGTGGAAGATGGGACTTTAGAGCCACAATTTTGGATTTTTGGCTGAGGAATATCTAAGTAAATTTTTAAGAAGCTGCATATTTCCTCTTGACTCTTTATAGTTATAATATGAGAAGAGGGAAATGAAGTAGGAATTATTAAAAGGGAAACAACTGAGATTTGAAAAATTTTCAGCCTATCCATACTATAAAGAAGAGAATGCATGTTAGGGAGAGAACACCAAGCTTGTGGCCATACTACAATCTGATAAGGGGATTAGCTAGCTAAACAAAAGTGAGGGCCTATTGTCTAAGACAAAGAGAGAGAAAAAACCCCAATTTCTTGGTATTATAAAGTTAATTTAAAGTGCTTTTAATGCCTTGTTAAAACCCAGAAATTAGAACAAGAAATTGATAATTTTCTTGTGGATTGTTGAAGCTAGGACTTTGTTCTTCTGAGTTCATTTGTTCCTGATGGTTCAACTTTTTTCTTTTCTTTTTTAAAATTTTTTTATTTTACAAACAAATCAATCTTTTTACTAGAGAGGCATACCTCTCACACGTGTATTATTCAAATGTACTAACACATGAAAGATCACATCACCTTGTTTA